GTGGACAGGAGGAGGAGGGTGGAGGGTGGACAGGAGGAGGGTGGAGGGTGGACAGGAGGAGGAGGATGGAGGGTGGACAGGAGGAGGAGGATGGAGGTTGGACAGGAGGAGGAGGGTGGAGGGTCGACAGGAGGAGGAGGGTGGAGGGTGGGCAGGAGGAGGAGGGTGGGCAGGAGGAGAGGTGCTCGGGGCTGCTGAGTTGAAGCTGCCTGCAGAGGCTCTTGGAGTGAATCCGGGGTTAGGATGGCAGCTCACTGATCAAAGGGCCCCCCCTTGCAAAGGTGTGGACCCGAGTTTAGATCCTAGCACCATGTAGAAAGTGGGACGAAGCACTGGGTACCTGTAACCCCAATGCAGTGGAGGTGGAGAAGGGGTTCACAGTTTCATCTCTTTTCTGTGGTAAAATACCCTGAACCAAAAACAACAACAGAAACAGCTTGGTGGAATAGAAGAGATGACTTGCTGATAAAGAAGATTTGCTGTTCTCACAGAGGCCCTGGGGTTCAGTTTCAGCACCGACATGGCTGACAATAATCTATAATTCAAGCTGGGCATGGTGGCACACATCTTTGATCCTAGCACTGGGAAGGCAGAGGCTGGCAGATCTCTGAGTTCAAGGCTAGCCTGGTCTACAGAGTGAGTTCCAGTCCAGCCAGGGTTACACAGTGAGAGTGAGCTGTCTCTGTCTCTGTCTCTCTGTCTCTCTCTGTCTCTCTGTCTCTCTGTCTCTCTCTCTCTCTCTCTCTCTCTCTATATATATATATATATATATATATATATATGTATGTATTTCATATATATATATATGATCTCAACTCCAGAGAATCTAATGTCTCCTTGTCCCCTTTTTGGCCTCTCAAGGCCCCAGGCTCATGTGTGGAACACATACATACATACAGGCAAACGTATAATAAAAACAAATCTTTTTTAAAAAATGAGGGGAGGAAGGGTTTATTTTGCTCACCATTCCAGGTTTCAGTCCATCATCACATCCACAGTCACGGTGGGAGGGACGGAGTCAAGAGCAATGACAAATGAGCACATGAGTGCCCACCTCTGAACTCACTGTCTCCACTCTTACGCAGTCCGGTACCCAAACTTGGATATGATGCCATCCACAGTGGACTGGGCCTTCCCCGTCAGTCACCAGTCATGACAGTCCTCCCCAGATAACTGATTTAGACAATCCTCATTGACCCTCTTCCTGGATTGCTTCTAGACTGTGTCCAGTTGATAAGCCTAACTTACAATTTCAGGAAGTAAATGACTTCTGGAAGCTGTCCTCATGTGCAACACACACACACTATAATTAAAAAGAAAAACTATCATACAAAGGGACTTACTGGCAGTCAGTCTAGCAAACTGATGAGCTCCAAGTTCAAAGTTCAGTGAGAAAGCCTATCTCAAAAAAAAAGGAAAGTGATGGGACTTTGGCCTCTGGCCTTCATGAATATGTGTGTGTGCATGTGTGCACACATACATGAACATGTATCACACATACACGAACACATGTCTAACATACATGAACATGTATCATACACACACGAACATCTCTCTCTCTCTCTTTCTCTCTCTCTCTCTCTCTCTCTCTCACACACACACACACACACACACACACACACACACACACACACACAAATTCTGCCATGGTCTCCTCCCATTCCCAGATCCCAAGGAGACAGGTCCACCCAAGGTTGAACCAACTACAAAGACAATCCAGCCAATATGGAACCTAAGAGTGGCCCATAGTTTCCTCTCCCTGACAGTCCACCTCCCCTCCCATGCCTTAATTCTTGCCCTCAACCTCTACCAGTCTCATTCTATGGAAAAATCAAGAGCTTCCTGTGCCAGGCTGCTTGCCTCAGAGCCTTCCAGCAAGCCAGCCCAGGCTTTTCAGCTTGCTCAGCTATTTTAAAACAACCCTTCACAAGCAGCCCAGAAGTGGGGCTTGCGGCTTGATTCGAGGTTAAACAAATAAGTTCCATTTCTCCACAGACAATCTAGGAATGAAAGATTTCTTAAGACAAATTCCCAAGCTATGTGTTCCATTTAAAAAAAAAAAAATGCTGCCCCAAATTGCAGGGTTCCAGCCCAGCCTTCTCCATTTTCGAAGATATCTGGATTGGCTTTGGCTGAGCTCTGTATAGAGCATGGGACCAATGGCAGTGGTGGGCGGCCAGGCACGAGGCTTTGAGCTCTGTGTAGCCCCGAGCCGGGCTTTCTCGGCAGGCAACCTCCTAGCCCAGACCCACAGGAGCTCACAGGGCCTGGTGCACTTCTTGGCATGCTGAGAAATGCTCATCCCTTCCTTGGAAGGCCTAGGCGAGGGGACCAGGTGTTTGGCTGGCCTTGGGGACCGCTTGAAACAGAGTGCTTTTTTCCTCGTGTCTTGAGGGAAGGCAAGGGAAATGAGGAGGGAAGGAGAGGAGGAAGAGGATGCGACAAACACGTGTTAAAATAAGTAAAATGTCAGAATCTCCCGGGATGTAGAATGCAAGAACTACCCAAAGGTAGAGTTTTCCTTTTCTCTCTAAGAACCATCAATCCTTGTGCCCAAGCTGGAAATCTAGATCAAGAGTTTTTAGCTAGCTGTGGTGACATGTACCTGTAATTCTAACACCCGGGAGGCTGAAGCAGGATGA